GGGTATTTGGCAGATGCTGATTGGTGGTTCAATGCACAGTCCATATAAGGTGCCCTGTTAGGTACTCAGGAATGTCCAGCTGCAGGTGGAGCTTACATCATTCTCCGTCCATCAGTTGGAAGAAGGGAGGATCTATCACATACATATTAAAATCATAGCATTTATAAATACAACCATCTCTACAATAGAGGTTATATAAATAAATTACACATTTTGTGACTAACCTCATATACATGAAATTTTAAAAATGAAGTTATTTTATAAAATGCCAATTGATAAGATTTGTAGTTCAAATAAAGTATGAAAGTTGTTATATAGTTTTAAACAACTACAGAGTGCCCCCCCCAAAAAAAATGTATACACATTTTTTTGGAATTGTATTTGCAATTCCATTTTAATATTCTATTAACAGTATCTGTAAATATATAAAGTTTATGTAGAGATTAATGTGTTTTTAAATTTATTTAAAAAAGAAATAAATATGCCCTAAAAGCATTTATGCTAACATATGTTTTTCTGGTTGTCTTTTTCTTCTCATGAATGAATCACAAAAGGAGACAATTTTGATATCTATATTGCCATTGAAGCAGGAATTTTAGGGGAATATATGCAGGCTTAGGGGTTCTTTAGAATTGGGGTCCATGGAAAAACACAGGGCTACAGACTGGGAGAAGTACATCTCCATAACACAAGAAAGCCAGGTGCAGTTACATCTCCAGAAGATAAGGGAACTGAAAATAGCCAAGAAAGGTCTATATTTACAAAATAAAGAGAAGAAAGTCTTTCATTTAGAGGGAGAAGAAGAAAGCCCAAAGGGACTAGGAAACAATAAGGAAGAAGAGGGGAGAACCTCACATGTCCCTTGTAAGGTTCCAACTTTGAGCCCAGGAGTTACCATAGTAACCAGTCTAAGGGAATAGTGACCAAACATAGGGCATATCAAGGCACCAGAATCTGCACCATTTATAATCCAAAGGGAAGAGGACTTCAGTGGGACTTTTTCCCCTCCCCACTTGGGAGTCCATTCTGTGGGACTTTTTCCCCTCCCCATGTGGGAGTCTGTACTTGTTCTTCAATAAATCTCCACTATTGCTATACTACCCTCTGTCCATGAATTCATTCTTCGATTCCAGTGGACAAAGAATCCAGGTTCCAATCCAAAAACTCAGTATTACCATCTTGGGAAAACACTTTCTTTTACATAAATTTAAAGTGATATCGTTTAGTAATTCTCTTACATTTTCTATTAAAAAATCCAGATTATTACAAGGTAAAGTAAAAGATTTGAAAAATGGTACTGTTTTATATTTTGTCTTCATCTATTTATTTTTGTACATTCTTCTTTTAGAATTTGAATGATTATAGCATCTTAATTTGATAGAAGTTCAACAGATTCTTGGAAGACTATTCAATTTCAAATAGATTTTTTTCTATTCCCTAGTGGAGTGAATGATCTCATTTTTATTTTTTTTTTAATAAACAGGACAGTGATCTTATATATTAACTAGTAGATGAGAAAACAGAACAATGTTCAATGTTTTACTAAAAATTGTTTAAGAAATTTTCACCATTATAAAAGTTTAGCTTAAAAACTCTTTTTATAGTTATTAACTTAAAGTTATGATCAACTCAATCATATGTCCTCTCAAAATCCAAATCCTACAGCTTAGTTGATTTTTAATGTATTCTTTATAGTCAGTTTTAAACCCAATTATTCTGTAATTTACAATGTATTTTCATACTGTTGTAGTGTACCCCCAACTTACAAAGGACACCTTAAAAAGTCAAATTATGGAGTCGTTTATTAAAAGTCGGTGGCATATAAGGCAGCAAAAGTGCTCCAGATCTCACAGCCCTGAACAATTTGCCACATCTGGCATATATTGGCGGAATATCACAAAGGTACCAATTACATTTTTGATAGTGAAGTATGGTAGCAATCATCTCAGGTAGAAATTGCCCCTTTAGGCCTGACCCTACCAGGATCAGGCCTAAACAGGCAGTCAGATATCCCTCAAGGGGTCTCAGATTGGAGAGTGTGCAGGCTAGGCTGAGGGACACCCCCCCGCCCCCCGCACGAATTTTGTGCACCGGACCTCTAGTTTAGGATAATTGTGCTGTTCTGATTCCAGGAAGAATGTGCTTTGATGACCAGTGAGATCACAATCAATGGGACATTCAAACCATCATCAATGGAGTATTGGGATAGCATACATAAGTTCAGAAAATCAAAATAACTAGTTTTAGCAAATAAATCAGTACAGAACCCAAACAGCAGTTTCTACCTGAGATGATTGCTACCGTACTTCACTACCCTCTTTCCTGTAATTCTATTCTAGAGGCAGACAATATTTTCACAATATATGAACTGAATTCTCTAACGTATTCTTCAATTGAAGCTTTTCAAAGTACATTTGTGGAATTCACGCATAGCTTTGTTTTGTTTCTCAAATGTGAATTAGAACCAGCTCAGGTGCTTTTGAAAAACACTGATTCTGAGGCACTTTCCCTGATGAATTAAATCAGAATCTAGCCATTTGTCCCAGGCATTGGTAGTTTTTAATTTCCTCAGGTGATTCTAATGTGATCCCAGTTCTGTGAATCTCTTACTGAGTAGTATTTAAGCAACATTAACATTTATTGGGAGGGAAAGGCAACTATCAGGTTTTAAAACAGTTGGTCTATGGTTGGTGTGAATTTTTGCATTTTCTGATCAGTTCCCAGGTAATGCTGTTGCTGTTGGTCCATGATCTATATTTTATGTATCAAGGAAATAGAACAGAGAAGGTTACTGAAAAAGAAGAATAGTTCCAGATCTTTATGTAATCAGGAAGAAAGAGAATGGAAGGGGAAAGGGGAAGGGGAAGGGGAAGGAAAGGAAGACCCAATAAAAAGTGAAAGCTAGTAGATAGAGGAACAGTCTTGAAGGTCTGTGTTAGTCTTTGTATTTATTAATTTATTATTGAATGTCTACTATATGTGGAGATTAAGTTATTCTAATTAGCTTTTGCTGTATTTTTATGTATGGTAAAGCTCCTGAAAAATAGGTTCTGCTATAAAGGATTTTTGCTCACATCCAATGCATATATTTTGTTCTTTCTAGAAGAATTGTCAATGACCACAGCACTGCTGCTCTGAGTTGTTCTGAGTCCATATATTCTTCTAAAATCTCCCATTTGACTACGGCAAGCACAGGGCAGGTTCCTTCTTGAACACTGCCCACTGTACTAATTGTTGGGAACATAGTCCAAGAGCACAGGTCAATCCCCAGCATGGGGCAGACAGAGAAGCCAAGGGATGTTGTGGATGTATAAGGAGTCTTGATTGCAGACAAGAACAGCCGTCACAGCAAAGTCCATACAGGCAGGCAGCTGGACACTGGCTGGTACATAGAGACCTTTTCCATAAAGCAGTATCAGTCTCTGTACCCACAGCTATTCTCTGAGCAGCTACATGCTGCCCCAGACTCACCACTTTACATTACAGCAGCACCTGAGCTCTCTGCCTCAGCAGCTGCCCTAAGCTCTCTGGCTTCAGCAGCTTCTCCTTTCTCCCCTGCCCAGCACACTGGCTGGTTAACATGGCAGCTACATCTGAGACTCTATGCGCTCTTAGCCTTACATTGTAGCAGTGCCAGCTCTCCGCTCCATCTGTGCTCTCTAGCCTCTCTTATTCACACATGGGAGCTACCTCCTCTGTGCTGCTGCCTCTCTTCTCCGAGCTCTCTCCAGTCTCTGCCCTTTTTGTGGTCAGTAACCTGCATATTACTCCAGAGACAAAGAAGGCTAGCTGCCAAAGGTGACATCAGTCATTTGGGTTACAGGAGGGCACAGTGTACCGTGTGTCCTTGCACCTGCTTGGTATCCTGGCCAGATTATGATTCTCAGGCTCAGAGGCTGATAATGGTTCCCAAGCTCAGGGCAGCCTTGATCAGCTGATGCACTCTAAACAGTGTCCCACAAGAGTGTTTTATATATATATAATTTTTTTTTTTAAGGCTTTAACTTTACACGGATTTAACTCTTGTTCACGCTCACTCTTTCTCAGCCCAGCTTTTCTCTGGTGTCACAACAGAGCGGTCTCTAGCAGGGCAGCTGGTGAGTATTGCTTGTGTAGGTCCCAAGAGAAAGAAGCAGGTGAGGAGACTGAATAGTGAATGGTTAGCTGGCAGAAGGTACCAGCAGTTCTTGGCTCAGATTCAGAAATTACTTGAGTGTAGGCACTTCTTCTATCAACATGCTTTGGTGGAAATGGTTGCCACCTGCCCCTACTCCCAGGGGTTAATTTTCCTGCTGCTTAGTCAGTTTATATTTCAAGAGGCTGTTAATGTCGATAATACTAACAGTGTGGAGGCATGCTCTTCCTGCCCAGATGGCGGCTTCTGCACATGAGGTACAATGCACTTAGGTTGGCAGTCCCATGCTTAGCAGTCAGGGTTCCATAGACTCTGGCTGTTGATACTGTCTGGTGACAGGTGCCCAAGACATAATGAGATCAGCATGCCCCATAAACACCTGCAAAGGTTGACACATAGAAATGTCAGCTTGGATTTAATTTTAAATATAATAACATTACAGTTCAGGAAAATTACAATCATTTCCTATGATAAAAACTGGAATTGAGTCCCGTACACCTTTCTTTACTGCCTCACACCTGGGCTTGCCTAAGGGAACCGGAGCACCACCGCTCATGGCGGCAGGGTGACCAGGACTCCTATCTTTTGCGAGGGAACCAGGCGGAGCAGGGACATCGGTGACTTCCCCGCGGGGGCCTGGGGCCTGCACGTTGGCCTCGCTTCTCTTCGCCCCATTCCGGGCCCCGCACCTGCGCAGTGAACTGCTCGCCGCCACCAGGCCCTGCAATTCCGCTTTGCCCGCCTCTCCCCGCTCCGCCATTGTCCGCCTAGGGCTCGGGACTTCCGGTCACATGCGTGCGCGAGTGCGGTGGCAGCACGCCGACTTCCGACTTCCGACCCCTGACTTCCGTTCTACCAACCGTTTTCCGTTTCACCAACGGTTTTCCTTGTTTTCTTTGGCGTCGTGGCAGGAGGTGCCCTGGGACTGTTTTGGGGTTGCTGGGTGACCTTGAACCTTCCGGAGCGAGATGGCGGGTGTGTGGAGGCTGAGTGCCCGCTGCGGAGTCCATGGCGGCCGGGCTCTCCTCCTCCGAACCCCGGCGGTCAGGCCTGCTCACCTCGCAGCCTTTCTCCAGGCCCGACCCGCCCCGGGGCGGCGCGGAGCACAGCGCATCCACCTGTTCCCCGGCCGCCCTGGCGGCTCCAAGGCTGCGTCTCTCCGCTGGGCCAGTGAGAGGGCGGCCAGTGCTCTGCTCCTGGGCCTCCTTCCCGCGGCCTATCTGTTTCCTTGTCCTGTGGTGGACTACTCCCTGGCCGCCGTGCTCTCCCTCCACAGCCACTGGGGCCTGGAGGAAGTTGTCACTGACTACGTTCGCAGGGACGCACTGCAGAAAGCCGCCAAGGCGGGCCTCTTGGCCCTCTCGGCTGTCACCTTTTCTGGGCTTTGTTATTTCAACTATCACGACGTGGGCATCTGCAAAGCTGTTGCCATGCTATGGAAGCTCTGACCTTCTTGACTTAATATGTTAAAAATGGATTGTACACCTCTTTGCCTCTGCTCTGTCACGCCATTCATCTCACAATAAAGAGGAAATAACTGATGAGTCCGTTGATGAGATAAGTCTCTTCTCCTAATCACCTGGCTAGTTGTAGAATGTAATCTGTGAGGAAATGGTTTGAGAGGAATTGTATCCAAGACATTGTGAGACAAAAGTTCCACATTCTGGCGAGTGAATGAGCTTGTCCTCCAGCTTCTCAAGACTCACAATGTAACTGAACATTATATATGAGCTTTCGCATTTTTATCAAACTCTTAAAGGGAATTCAGCCTTATTACTGTCAATACCTAACCAAACTTCTTCTATAGTTGCCCTAAGAATTGTGGAGAGAGGAAAAGCTATTAATTCATAAGTAAAGACTGCAGAAACTTAGTCAGCACTTAATGTTTGAAAACTTTACCCCTTTGTTAAGTTGATACCAGTCACTGGTGGTTATATGTCTTTATTTGTCTTAAAGTTAGGAATTGCTATTACTATCAGGATACTTCACATTTCTAATTTCTATATCCTGGTAAAAAGAGCCTGAGAACTTCTGAATATAGAGAAGTTTGATGCAGAGGGAAGAGATACCCCTGTAAAGGTATCAAAATATTACATGTTCTAAACTGAGACTTAACTCCTCAAATATGTTAATTTTATTTGTTCCAAAATAATATCCACAAATATAAAACTTTAAATAGTCAATTGTTATTTTTCCCAATGTGAGAATCTCAATTGTGAAATGTATTCTGTTAAATTAAAAAAAAAAATCTGTATAAAAAACACCCCAAAAAACCTGGAATTGATAAAATGTGTGAATTCAAAATGTCAAAATTATAATAAAAAGTTATGCAATTTATTTTTCTTACTTTATATTATTGTTTTATATATGCATGCATATATAGTTACTAAAATGTATAGATATAACATTACATACCTAGTTGTAAAGGTGTATTTATATATTCATAAAATATAACAAATTAATTATGTTACAGAAAACTGGAGAAGAACCAAGGAACACTTAGAGAGATGGAGTTACATTTATTACACATGGGCCCAGAGGAAAATGTCTCTAAAATTCTGGACCGCAACATGGAGGACCTTTCCCTATTTATATGTTTTTACCTTCTTTGTCTCCCAAATATGGGGTGTTTCTGGCCCCCTTTGCAAGTTATTAAAGAGCCCCTATATGATGGGTGGGGCCTTAAGACCTCAACTAAAGGCCTGGCCTGATGCCAGCACTAATAATTTTGTTCAGGGAAGGTTTAATGGCCTCTCTGAAGTGGGAGTAGTCTTATTTTCCTTATTATTTAAGCAAGCATTTACAGAAGTCAAATAACAGGGTTTAAATTTCAAACAGCAGTTTTTATATAAGATGGATGTTTCAAATATATATGTCATTATTTTACAATATCTACTTTGTCTTATCTGGCACTCATTTTCTATTATGATTTTCAAGTATTTCTTGTCATTGAACTTGTGAGTAATTAATCCATTTCACGTATACATAAAGTAGAATTCTTTGTTACTATTGAAGAGGAGGAGCTATGTAGAACAAAAAGACAAATTAGTTAACACAAATATATACAAGCTTATATAAGAGAGTATTAGAACCTTAACAAGCATCTTGGCTCTGAAGTAAAGAAGAATGGTCAATTATAGATATTATAGCAAAAACATAAATTGAAATGCATGGGTCCATAAATATAAATGTTCTCAAAAAAGAGACTTTGACCCACAGACTTTTGAGTCAAATTATTCAGCACTCTCCCCTGCTCTCTGGCTCAATGTATTCCTTTGTACCTGGTAAAGTAGGAGGAGACAAAAATTAACGCTTCTAGCAGGATTTATTTATGTGTAAGCTTTTCTATTATGAAAGTGCCTTTTAGCACTCACATGTGTACATAAAAAACAAGGTCCTACTATTATCTGAATTTGGGACAAAGGAATGGAGATAATTATTGAGGAACTGCAGACTTTGCCAGCAACTAATTGCATCAACAATGTGCTTAACAAATAAAAATTCAAAAGGACATTTTTAGCAATGCTTCAAAACACCTATTTCAACAATAGGAACAGACAATTACAGTTAGGTTAAGCACACATTAGATAATGTAATTTAATACACTAAAGTGTGATCACTATAGCTGCCACCATTCCTTTCCAGCTGTTTCTAGTAAAGAGAGCTAAATAAATAAATAAATAAATAAGATAATGCTTTTATATGATCTGGCTGTAGTGTCTTTAGGGAGAACTTTAGAATTATCAATGACAGTGGGGTCTTTAGGGAGATCATCCTGGTCTTTAGGGAGAACTTTAGAATTATAAATGACAACTTCACAGGAGAAGAGTAGGTAAAGAAGAGAAGAAAAATAGGGGTAAAACAAAATGTAAATTAAAAGAAAGTATGCAGAATTCATGGAAGAAGGCAGTGGATTAAGTGGGAACTACCTGACATTCTCCCAGGACCAAACTGGAATTACAACTAAAATATAGAAAAATAGTCCTGAATAAGGAACTGCAGACTAGTTGGAGAGAAGTGTGATACCTAAAGGCATAAAGAAGAAACTGCATAGAGTGGTAGAAAGTGTGGAGGTGCAAGAGGGCTGGCTGTGCTCCCACATGTAGCAACTGGAGTTCTGGAGGTATATCAGCTGTGGGGAGTCCCCCTGAAAAGTCTGGAGTCTAAACCCCAAATGAGAATCCCCTGCCCAGTGCACCAAAACTGGGAAATATGCCCACTAACATCTGGTTGTGAAAAGCACTGGGGGTTTTGTCCATCAGGGACTGATAGCTAGATATGCAGATACCATCTTAAAGAGCCAACACACTAAATTTCATTAGCAGCCACTTACCTTGGGCTCTAGCAGCTGGAGGGAAGAGTGGACTAGAACTGTCTGTGGAAAGTCTGGGATAGGCAGCTTGGCAGGGAGAGAGCAGAGAAGACAACCATTGGAACCGTTGTGCCGAGTCATTCCTCCCTTCTGTAGAAAATATCTTCCTCAGGCAGAACTTTCCCATCAATGCAGCTTTTGCCTGGAGAGAAGAAATTGCTCCACTGATTGGATACTCTCTGGCTCTATCCTGTGGAGTTTATGCCCAGCCAAGCTCTACAAGAAGAAAGTGAGCAAGAGGCTCATTAAGTGACTGAGACTAACAATCAGCCTGCAGGCAGAGGTGGATCTCAGGGGGCTTTGAGTCTTTGCCTCCACTGATTCTGGGCCCTGGGCCAGGAAAATAAGACCTTGGTATACAGCTTGCTCCTTGCCACATGCTTTTATCCCTAGCAGAGGAAGCTACAGGATATGGATCCCTGATAGCTCTAAACAGGGTACTCAGGGTCAGTCAAAAACAGCATCTAACATTGGCCTGTACCAGAGACCCTCTGCTGAGGCCCCAAAGCAATAAACCCAGTGGTCAGCTTCAGAGAATCACAGAGAGCATCCAATAAGCTCCATAAGCAGTATATCCACTGAAATATGTTGATAAGCTCCAGACCCTCAAAGGAGAATTCTTCTTCATGTGATAATGAACTGCACAGCAGACTGCACGCTATGTTGGGGGTTGAGCCTCATTGACAGCCAATCTGAGATTCCAGCCCACACAAATATGAGCCAACAGTAATTAAGACTCAATTAGCAAAGGTGGGCCCATACAACATGCACAGGAACATTTTTAGAGTACCCAGGACTGGTGATCAGAAAGATTGTGCTGCTGGGACCCACAGATCATCCACTATATAAGACCACATTGCCAAGAATGGGAGTCATAGCAGATCTGCCTACAACATAGAAACAAATCCAAACAGGCAGCCAATATGTAGAGACAAAGAAACAGGCCCCAAATGAAAGAATAATGGTACTGTCCAGAAGAAGAGCTAAGTGAAATGGGGATAAGCAATATCTCAGATATAGAGTTCAGAGCAATGTTTATAAGGATGCTTAACATCATGAAAAAAATATATAGGGTCTATGAAAAATGATGAGTCATAAATGAAAAATGACAGAAATAATAATACACTGAAAGAATAAACAACAGATGAGAGGAAACAAAGGATCATATCAATGAATTAGAAGATAGGGCAGAAAAAAATCACTTAATCAGAGAACCAAACATAAATAAAACAATTACAAAACAGGACAGTTTAAGGGAGCTGTTGGACAGAACAAAATGTATCAAAATAAGCATCTTAGGAGCTCCAGAGGGAGAAGAAGCTCCAGAGAAAGAGAACCTATTTTATTTGAAGAAATAATAATGGCAAAAACTTCTCTAACCTAGTGAAGGAAAAAAGTCACACAAGTTCAGGAAGCACAGAGAATCCCAAGCAAGAAGAACCCAGCCGAAACCAGTTTGGCTCAGTGGTAGAGCGTCGGTCTGCGGACTGAAAGGTCCCGGGTTCGATTCCGGTCAAGGGCATGTACCTTGGTTGCGGGCACATCCCCGGTAGGGGGTGTGCAAGAGGCAGCTGGTCGGTGTTTCTCTCTCATCGACGTTTCTAGCTCTCTATCTCTCTCCCTTCCTCTCTGTAAAAAATCAATAAAATATATTTAAAAAAAAAAAGAAGAACCCAGAGGCCCACAACTAGACATATCATTATTAAAATGCCAAAAATTACAGACAAAGAATCTTTTAAAAAATATGTTTTTGTTTATTTCATAGATAGGAAGGGAGCGGGCAAGAGAGATAAAAAAACATCAATGATGAAAGAGAATCACCAATCTGCTGGAGACCCAGCCCAAAAACCAAAGAGAGAATCTTAAAGGCAGCAAAAGAAAGGAAAATTTGTTACCTACAACGGTGCTCTTGTATGGCTATCAGCTGATTTCTCATCAGAAACTCTAAAGCCAGAGGCAATGGCATGAATTGTTCAAGAATCTGAAACCAAGACTAGTCTCTCCAGCGAGGCTATCATTCAAAATAAATGGCGAAATAAAGACTCCCCATACAAGTTTTTTAAAAGGCTAAAAGGATTCATCACCACCAAACCAGCATTGCAAAAAATATTAAAGGGACTGCTGTAGTAATATGAAGGAATACATAGGCATAAAGATTTAAAATGGCAATAAATAAGTACCTGTCAATAATAACCTTAAATGTAAATTGGTTATATACTCAAATCAAAAGACATAAGATAGGTGAATGGATAAGAAAACTTAACCCATATATGAGCTGTCTACAAAGAGACCCACCTCAGAACAAAAGATTCACACAGGATGAAAAGTAAAGGGATGGAAAAATGTTTCACACAAATGGAAATAATAATTTTTACAAAAAGCTGGGGTAGCAATACTAATATTTGACAGAATAGATTTCAAAGTGAAGGCCATACCAAGAGACAATAAAAGTCACTACATAGTACTGAAGAACTCACTCTAACAAGAGGACAGAACCCTAGTAAGCATATATGCACCCAATATAGGAGCACAAAATATTAGCAAATCAGATCCAGCAATATATTAAAGACATCACACACTATGACCAAGTGGGATTTTTTTTTCCAGGGATGCAAGCTGGCACAATATTTGCAAATCAATAAATGTAATATAACACAAACAAATTGAAAGATAAAAATCACATGATCATATAAATAGAAGCAGAAGAAACATTCAACAAAACGCAGCAACTTTTTATATATATAGTCTCAGTGAAGTGGGTAGAGATCATACCTCAATATAATAAAGGCCATGCATGACAAATCTACAGCCAACATCACACTTGATGGGTCCAAACTGAAACCATTTCCCCTAAGAACA